TTGGGAATTTTTTGGGGGATTTTTTGGGATTTTTTTGGGATTTTTTGGGGATTTTTTTGGATTTTGGGGGGGATTTTTTTGGGAATTTTTGGGGATTTTTTGCCAGGTGAGGGGGAGGGGAGGGCGGGGACTCGGGGGGTTTTGGGGGATTTTGGGGAATTTGGGAATTTTGGGAATTTTTTGGGAATTTTTTGGGAATTTTTTGGGATTTTTTGGGAATTTTTTGGGATTTTTTGGGAATTTTTTGGGGATTTTTTGGGATTTTTGGGGATTTTTTGGGAATTTTTTGGGGATTTTTTGGGATTTTTTGGGAATTTTTTTTGATTTTTTGGGGATTTTTTTTGGGAATTTTTTGGGATTTTTTGGGAATTTTTTCTGAATTTTTGGGGGATTTGGGGGATTTTGGGAATTTTGGGATTTTTAGGGCTTTTTTGGGAATTTTTTTGGGATTTTTTGGGGGGATTTTTTTTGATTTTTGGGGATTTTTTGGGGCATTTTTGGGGTATTTTGGGGCATTTTTGGGGACGATTTTAGTGCAGTTTTTGGGGTATTTTGGGGCATTTTTGGGGTATTTTTTGGGGCATTTTTGGGGTATTTTGGGGCATTTTTGGGGTTGATTTTGATGCGGTTTTTGGGGTATTTTGGGGCATTTTGGAGGCTGATTTTGGGGCGGTTTTGGGTCGATTTTTGGGACAATTTCTGGGATATTTCGAGGCGGTTTTGAGGTGAATTTTGGGATATTTCGGGGCGATTTTGGGGTGAATTTTGGGGTCTTTCGGGGCAGTTTTGGGGTCGATTTTTGGGACAATTTCTGGGATATTTCGCGGCGGTTTTGGGGTGAATTTTGGGATATTTTGGGGCGATTTTGGGGCGATTTTTGGGATATTTCGGGGCAGTTTTGGGGTCGATTTTTTGGGACAACTGGGATATTTCGGGGCAATTTTGGGGCGAATTTTGGGATATTTCGGGGCAATTTTGGGGTGAATTTTGGGGTCTTTCGGGGCAGTTTTGGGGTCGATTTTTGGGACAACTTCTGGGATATTTCGCGGCGCTTTTGGGGTGAATTTTGGGATATTTCGGGGCGATTTTGGGTTATTTTGGGCCGATTTTTTTCGGGTTTTCACCATTCTAATCCAGGATTTTTTTTTTTTATTTGGGGGTCCCCCCCACCCCCCCAGGCGGATTTGGGGTCCCCCCTGGCCTGCCAGGAGCGGGGGCTCTGGTTCCTGCTGGGGGTGGCGGCCCCGGGGGGCTGCGGGGGGGGAGGGGCGGACCCCCCCCGTTTCACCGCCCTGCCCCCACACCAGCGCTGGATTTCGGGGGTCGCCCGCCAGGTTTTGTTCGCCGAGACCCCCCCGGACCCCCGGGACGAGGAGCGGGAAGAGCTCGAGGGGGACCCCCAAAATCTGGGGGGCCCCGATTCGGGGCGGGGGGACCCCGATGTTGGGGGGGGGGACCCCGATTTTGGGGGGGGGGACCGCGATTTTGGGTGGAATTCGGGGGGTCCCGGCAACGGGAGCGGCTCCTGGGATTGGGGGAACCCCGTGACGTCATCGCCCGCGGAGGTTTCGGGGACCCCCGTGACGTCATCGGCCGCGGGGAACCCCGTGACGTCATCGCCCGTGGAGGTTTTGGGGACCCCTGTGACGTCATCGCCCGCGGAGGTTTCAGGGAACCCCGTGACGTCATCGCCCGTGGAGAGTTCGGGGACCCCCGTGACGTCATCGCCCGCGGAGGTTTCGGGGACCCCCGTGACGTCATCGCCCGCGGAGGTTTCGGGGACCCCCGTGACGTCATCGGCCGCGGGGAACCCCGTTACGTCATCGCCCGTGGAGAGTTCGGGGACCCCCGTGACGTCATCGCCCGCGGGGAACTCCGTGACGTCATCGCCCGCGGAGAGTTTGGGGACCCCCGTGACGTCATCGCCCGCGGGGAACCCCGTGACGTCATCGCCCGCGGAGGGTTCGGGGACCCCGAGCGACCCGGAAATTTCGGGGACCCCCGTGACGTCATCGCCCTCGGGGCCCCCCGTGACGTCACCGGAAATTTCCGGGGTCCCCCAGGGCGGGGGCGGGGCCGGAACTTCCGGAAACGCCGAAATTTCGGGGGGTCCCCCTTGAAAAATTTTGGAGGGGGGGGGGGGGGCGGGGGGAGGGTCTGACCCCCCCTCCCCCCCAAATTTTGGGGCTCT